ATCTATCTAATTAACTAACTGAATCTATGAAACTATAGTCCTTCTTGAGAAACCAAACGTTGCTGAACTAGTAAATACCCCCTTATTAAACCTGATTAATTATCGTAAAGAAACAAGTGTTTGAAAATAAAATACTCAGAGGAATATTTGAACCTAAGAGGGGTACCTGAGTTGGCACTTATAATATTAGAACACTTGTAATTCATAAGGTCATCTAATATTGTTAGAATACCGAACCAGAAGAGGTTACGAGACAAATACGTCCAGAACTTCCTACTCTACGACTCAGAAGGAATTATATTATCAACGTAGATCTTAAGGAAATGGTACACGTGAGCGGAAGAGGAATGCATTACGTCCAGTGGCGGATCTGTCATTCGTGTGTTGGTGCCGCATTGTACGTTTACACGTGACAGCAGCTGTAAGTTTCGCTGATGTGCCATTCCGCCTGCAACAAATTCGAACATTCCATGCTGCACTCCTCGATTGTACTGCGGGTTTTAATTTAGGGACGTTTTATCTTAGGGAAATCCGGCCGCGGTTTCTCCGGCGTCTTGTTGTTCCAGCTCTGAGCCCTCAGGAACTCATTGTGTTTCTTGTATCTTGATTTTCTCACAGTCCCACATCCATACACAACGTGGAAAAATTTCTAAATAAGAAATTTTAGTTTCTCTTCTAAATGTCTTCATTTATGCGGTTATCTCTCGTGCTTCTTAAATACGAACTAATTTTTTGTGCCGAATGTTTGAGATTACACTTTGCGTCCAACGTCACGACAATCTTCGAACTAATTAACAAACCAACCAACCAACTAACTAACTAGTTACACTTACTCTTTGCATAGGGCAGAATCCTTGAGATAATAGTCAATTTGCTCCTAAAATTCCTCGCCTTTTATGGAACATGGAGGTTTATTACCAATATGCCCTGGTCTCTATATTGAGCCAGCTGAATTCGGTCTCCTTTTATGCTTCATAGACCCATTTAAATCCCACTCCCCGTTTGATAATATTTCGTAACAAGCTAGCATGCAGGACAACTGTGAGGGATTACTAGCCATGCGGCCGACAGCTAGAATCGTGGGTCGCCCATTTTCCACAGTCCGAGACTGCTTATTTAATGTATCATCCATACCTGAAGGCAATCTGCTACCGCAATCAGGTGACGCGCCATGCGGTGGACAAGGGCACACGCTTAACGTGGGGAAAGAATTATACAAACAAAATTTGGAAGATGTATGAGATAAATATTAAAATAACACTTGAAGATGTACGTAGTATGTGAAGTTGTGGGCTTGTTGAAAATGATCCAATGGCGGACATATATGAACACATTAATGAAACTTCGCTGTAAGAGAGAATTTCTTAACCAGATGAGTGGATTATCAGGTTCTTGATAAAATTAACCCAGTCTGATGGGCTGTTAACGTCTGGCTTGTCCTCGCAGTTTCGTTCATGTTCGGGGCGATTCGAGAGTCGACGCGGAATCTGCTTGTGTTCGGTTTGAATACTGGCTAATTTTTTCGTAGGCTTTTTAATAAACCCAGCTGATTTCCTGCGCACAGGCCACGACATCTTCCTTCTTCATCACTTTTCAGTTTTCGAGACACAACAGAGGATAATCATGTAATGTATGTCGTTATTAGACTAGAAAAGAAAGGTTTGAGGTTCTCAAGGCGGTGAATATGTCGATGTCGGTCTTCTGGGTTGTGAGGCTTTGTGAACGTGTTGGTGGGTATCGACGTTTCGGAGAAACATACCGTTGGTAACTACCTACGAGTCAACACGGTGTCAGAACCCAGGACCCCAAGAAGCGTTAGATTCTGACTTTGTAATGAAGGGACACTCCATAGAATTGAACCTCGTCCTCGCGAATGGCGTGGGTTATCAGTTGAAAATATCAGAACTTTACAAGATGAATTTCTGGAATTCTATCTTGTGGTTAGTAAAGCCCATGGAGGGGTCTGTCAACATGGCCGCGGTCTTTTCCACGAATACGTCGCTGTATTCCTGTGGGTTTTGTGGACATATTTAAGGGCATCAATTCACCTTTGTTGTAAAATTTATCACCTTTTATTGAAGACCTGTGTTCTCGGAAAGAAAGACCCTAAGCTCAGAAATAAGCAAATATTAGGAAATGTGAAATATGGGCAGGTTTCCTGAACTGTTTGAAACACAACTCGACACTCGAAAGTCTTTTGTTTCTATAGTGCGAACACAAAATATAAACATCTATCCAAAATACGTAGCTGTTTTTTTCCAGTCAGTAAGCCGTTAATTGTTTATTAACAACTGAGAATATTACCTAGGGAGGAGTATCAAAATTTGTACTTTACAGTGACTGTGTTTCGGGATAGGCGACCGTGGTTCGATTCCCGGAAACGCAGGCTTTCTCTCTTTGCCACAACGTCAAGATCGGCTCAGGGTGGCAGCAAACTTCATACTCAGTGGGTACCGGTTGGAAGTACCAGAACGAAAACCGCGTGAGATATTCGTTTAAAATTATATGGAAAAGGGATTCCTAATTACTTCCGTCTCATTAGTGACGCTGATTTAACATTAACTCATATTGAGCTTCTCACTGCGGTGAGTCTGAAGATGACGTGTCTTCTGGGTTGTTGCGTCGTGTGGTCTGGTAGAAGTTTGCCAGCGTTTCATTGCCCTGATGTTGGAAGCTGCAAGGACCTCTGAAACGTCGGTAAACTTCTACCAGACTACACGGGCTATAACCATAAGACAGCCATTTTCAGTTCATTACCGTTCTCAATTATAATTACATGGGGGCAGAGTCTTTTTTGAAACGTTGATAGCCATTCAGCTGGTCAAGAAATTCCCTCCTTTTTTATGGAACCCAAGTTCATTACCGTAATCACAAAATCTCTATTCCGAGCTACAATTTTAACGATTCGTTTTAATATTATTCTCCACGTATGTGTTGATTTCTGAAGTTGTGTCTCTTCTTCGGCAACTAAGGCTGTCATATCGAAGATCTTTAATCTCCACGCATGCTACATACCCTGGCCATCTCCTATATTGATCAGTGAAGTGTCAGGGGTTGAGAAAGCATACAACAGCCTTCGCGCTGACTGTCCGAACAGAAGTACGAGCAAGAAGAGCTTTTGGCGACAACGCGATTAAGGGGGCGGTGTTATCAGTGATGGATGGATCAATTAATCTGAACGAAGCACGGCAGCTCATCCATCTAGCACTGTCGTTGTAACGGACAGCTCAAACGTGCCATCAGACCAAAGGCCGCTTCTGTGATGTAGCGCTGCTCAAAGGGGATTCATTTCTCGTCACTTTTTAAATTTCCGCCCCTTTGTCTCTGCTACAGACATGACCGGTTTAAGTCAGCGAGGAGCACGGGTGTGAAACTTGGTGTCTCGGCCTAAGATCGAGAGGTGCTGAGGTGAATATCTGGACCCAAGAGGGGTGATGTTTCAGGAGGGTAGAAGCAACTGCGAAATGAGGGAGGATTCTTCAGAAGATATTATTAGAAGGGCCAAATAAAGTCGAATCAGACGGGCGGGACATGTACAAAGACGGATAAATCAGAAATGGTCATAAAATTTTGTTTGTGAAACCTGAAGGTAAGAGATCACTAGGAAGACCTAGGTGTAGATGGAAGGTTAATATGAAACTAGTAATATATATCATGAAAAAAGAGTGGCGGACTGTATTAATCTGGCTCTGGATAGGAACAGATAGTGAGCTGTTTGTAACACGGCATTGAACATTGTGATTCCATGAACAAATACAAAGATCGCGGGTTTGAATCCCGCTTGAGACATGCATATCAGCATTTTCCTGTGTTGTATAATACAAAGGATGACTGTATTCTGGGTTGTTACGCCGTGTAGTCTGGTAGATCGCCCTGATGATGGAGGCAGCAAGGACCTCTGAAAGTCAGTAAACTTCTACCAGACTATACGGCGCTACAACCCAGAAGACAGCCATTTTCACACTCACCGCCGCGAAAAACTCAAAGCCTACTGTATGGTCCTGTTTAGATGCAGGCCTTGCGACGAGCCGATCCCCTACAGTGGGAGACCAACCGAATATCTGAAGGATTGATAACTTCAGAATAAATTCTTAATCGGGAAGAACACAGGTTGAATATGTGACAGGTGTATAAAAGCTACGTTTGCTAGTGAAAAGTAGTGGATTTTAGGTAATTAATCGTCTGTTAATTGGGTATTCGTGGGAGTCCCAATAAAAGCTTGCACAGGTGACTTCACCTACAACTACCCAATATGATTTTATTTGTTGCAACACAAATTCACAAGTCATTGAACGAGTCGAGTGTGTTACCATAGTAGCAAACAGATGTGACACCGACCTGTGTCGCAGAGTAAACAATCCCCCACTAGATGGCACCTGCTGTGTTACCTGACAAATGGGGGGGGGGGGGGGGTGGATGTAATTTTGAAAGGGATGATGCACGCTGGAGTATAATTACGATAGGCAGCATGAAGGGGATTCAAATCATCATTTATGACCTGCGTCTGATATTGGGGAGAGGGTAAAAAATGAGGTCACAACTTATGTCAAAGTTGTGTGCGCCTCTACAAGACAAATTCGAAACACCTGACAGCAATGAGGGGGCCGGAGACAAATTCAACTTTTTATCCGTAATAGGATGTGTATTTTGAGTTGCGTAGAATCCCCCAAATTTAGAGAAATAATAACATTTAATCTGATGCCATTCTATAGGTCTGATGGACCACATAACAGATTACAATATCCCAACTACTTCTATTGCCGAAATTTATTCGATATCCGTCAAGCAATTTCCGAAGTTGAAACGTGACTACGGCTGACGTGACTTCCTCATTAGGCGTTCACTCTATTCACACCGTGCAAAGGAAGCAGAACACCGCCACTGCGTCTAGACGTCTTTACTCCACCGTGATCGCGACAAAACACGGAAGTTATTGGTGTGCTTCACTCTCCGACGGCTCAACCCCCGGTCGCCAATGACTGGTCGTGTTTCCGTTGCAGGTAGCAGTGAAGAGGGCGAACCTACAGCCACTGTGGAAGAAGAGTCCATGGACGACCCGCTGTCAATGGGACCACCGTCACGTGACCCGCTTCTGGCGACCCGTGTCCCACCTGAACTCGAACTCAGAGACCCTGGTTCCGGCGTCTGGACACGACAACTCGTTTCCCGAGGAACCCGGCTCGGCACGTTTATCGGCTTGTGGGTATCGGAGCCAGAGGACCCGCGGTACGCCTTGGAGGTGAGTTCTCTCGCCCGCGCGACCACTGGGCAAGTCCACGTCCTGTTGCATATCTCATACACAGTACGGACACATTATTGTAGCATCAGGAGGTGAACATGCTGATTTGCGTAAGAACTTACATTCTTGAGACCCCCAGCTTTCGTAAAACTATACCGCAGAAAGCGATTTTTCGGTTTCACACGCGGTGAAGACGTCGATGTTGGTCGTCGAGTTTTGCTGCCATGTGGATGGCTTAAGATTTACGTTAGAACCCCGAAAACCAGCGTTGAAATTTATGATTTCTTGCTAACGGCATTTGTTAACTAACCACTACCTCATACAGTATTGCTGTTTGCATTACGACGTGGTGAAAAATGGTATCGGTTAAAATTCAAACTTCCTGGGTAAAACAGTTAAACGGGAAACACATTTATATAGCCACATTTTGCTTCGGTTATGAGCGAAATAGATGAGACCCATCTGTCGAGAAGACTTCGAACTAGCAGTTTTAAGCGCAGTCAGATGATAAGATAGGTTGGACATGGAGAAATCCTAGATGCATAAAGAAATTTATTCAGAACACCCCGAAGGAAAGCGACAGCTTGAAAAACTTTGACGCAGATGTGAAGATTAACATTAAAATGAATAGTACTGAAATATCATTTGAAGGTTCTGATGCAGTTTAACAAGCCTAGAGTGCGATTAAATGACAAAACTTTTTATCTGTGAGAATGGCGATATTTTCCGTGCCGATTTTCCCCTCGTTCATCCCTTGTAGTATAATTTCTGATGACGAAATACTACAACCATGCCTGAGCTCGGAAAAAAATACCAAAAACCAGTGTTGGATGATGTCTTAACCACCACAGGAGAGCATAGAAAATGAAGCTAATCAATTATATAAGTGCCGCCCTGTCGACTTGCCAGTAGCGAGTGTCAGATTGTTAAAATACCGTCAGGGCGGGAGTAGGGGGTTGTTAGTGCGGGATCACACAAGATGATTAACAGACTTGCTTAATGCCTCTCTGTCTGATTGCACAAACCCTATTACTCCTGGATTCTTTTCGTGCAGAAGCGTCACGGAGAAGCACTTAGTAACCGACTACTCACGATTTAGTGCAGTGGCGGCTTGTGTACTGTTGACAGTAGCTATCGGCGCTGGATGCGTGATGCGTTTGAGGACGAATGCCTACCCCATCTCCTCTTAAGTTACCGTTTATGACTACAGCCAAATGCCGAGTCACAGTTGGAGCCCGAATTAAGAATTTATGTTGTGATAATAATCTGGCTGGTCTGACCTATTGCACAGTTTAAATGCGGTCATAAATTAATGTGAAACATTTGCTGAATGGTAACTGGCAGGTTGAATTCGAAGTACCTGGAATAAAACTTGTCCTAATGTCACGTGATGAGCTTGTTATATGGGGTTTTCCTGGTACCTAGCTGTGGCCTCCGAGCCATATCTGTGATAAGGCCTGCTTTAACTACGAATTTTTTGTTCAAAACATTTTGAGAGCGACACGGTGAATCCAAATATCATTGTTCCTAAATTATTCAGCACAGTTGTATCAACTGCAGATGCTACTTAATTGTGTGTGATTTATTTAACGATGTTATCAAAAAAATATGTATAATAGATTGATAGGATAATTAATGTATTGGAAAGATGTGAGAAGAAACTGGTCGCAACCATATTTAATGTACCATTCTAGCATTTACCTTTACGGAAGCACTGAGGACATCAGTCTGATAATGCTGTTTAAGAAAATAATCGCTGTTTATTCTGACAATCACACGTATTCATTAAATACAGTGAATACGCAAAATGGAGAGTTATTTACTACTCATGCAGGCAATGGATGGAGTTTGCTTACCGACGAATATTAAAGAAGTAAAGTTTATCCGCGTAACTAGCCGCCACTGACCATCAGTCTCATCCCTACTCCTTCCGTCTCTTTAACAAACCAACCCTCGCTCTAGCAATTGATTTTCATTCCACTTAATGCAGTAGGGGGAAGTTACAGCGGACAATTAAGTAGCGCTGATACCTTTTCTTACGTCGACACGCCATCACGTGGTTATACGAACTGTAGGAGAAACACCGGACGATAACGCGTCTCGATTCGGCTACGCAAAGTTCATTGATGTTAATAGAAAACAAATATTTTCTCGGTTTCTTTAACGATGGGATTGAGAACGTGTGAAGTGGAAAGAATAAGTAAGGAGGCGGTTGTCGCATAAGGTAATATCCCGGTATTTTCCACGAATAACCTCTTAGGGTAGTCGATCCTGAACCGAGATTCGAATCCTGAATCTTTTGAATACGAAGCCGGTGCGCTAACAAATCGACCATGACGTTATTTAAAATAAACAATAAATAAAGCGTGCGTAAAAAGAAAAATTGAGGAGGAACGAAGGGATGAAGAAGGAAACTTAACAAAGAACGAACATACAATGAAGATACCGACAGAAGGCAAGAATAACGAAAGACGAAGGAATAAAGAAAGACAAGGAAGAAAAGCATCACTCAACATGTACGTATGTTAAATGAGAGATAAATAGCGCCTTTTTTCTCTGAATATAGGTCTACAAAAAATATCAGACGGTTTAATTATGAAGGTGTATAGACTGTCATTCACAAAAGAAAATTATCCACCCCCCCCCTCCAAATGACATAAAATCGTATTATACGAGGTGCGATCGGAAAGTTTCCAGACTGTGTTAATAGCGGGCGAACCGGATGTAGTACGAGCTTCTGCCTTTAGGGGGTGCGGCCTACATTCATAGTGAATCAGTGTGCCAGCCGGCATCATCGAATTAGCATTTGTTTCTTAGTTACGGGCGTTTTGGTAGTGCATTACACCGACCCTCCTGCGATTTCGGAATGGCGCGTGTGCATCAAATTTTGCCAAAGACTCGCCAAAACGGCTAAGGAAACCTATGAAATGCTAAAGCAAACATTTGGGGAGTCCGCAAACTTTTGTGTGGCATTCACGTTTTAAAAAGGGCCGGCCGAACCTCTGTCGATGATGACGAGCGTTCTGGACGACCATCTTCGAGCACAACGCCCGAAAAAGTTACGAAGATCGACGTCGTACCATCAACGACTTGTGCGACATTGTTGGGACCTGTCAGCTGATTCTAAAGGAAGAACTCCACATGCGACGCATCCTGTCAGAGGACCAGAAGCAGAATCGACTTCTCGTTTGTCAGGAGCTCAAAGATCTTGCAAGAACCGACCCCAACTTCCTTTCTAAGCTCCGTGTGACTTCTTCCTCTTCCCAAAGATGAAAATTCAGCTAAAGGGAAGGAGATTTGAGACGATAGAAGAGATTCAGGCAGAATCGCAGATGGTGCTTGACAGGCTGACAAAGAAAGATTTCCAGGGATGCTTCCAGGCTTGGCAGCGGCGCTGGGATCGTTGTGTTCACTCCCAGGGGAACTACTTCGAGGGTGATGGATGAATTTAATACCTGAGATAAGTGTACGGGTTGTTATACGCGCAGTCTGGAAACCTTTCGATCGCACCTCGTATATAA